TCCTTGGGGAACCCGCGTGGCTTCCATGCCAACTTGTAGGGGAATAGTTAGGCAGCCAATAGACCCTCGCTGAGGTCCTGGCTCGATTGCTGCTGCCTGGATCCGAAACGCGGAACTTACTAGCGCCCATATTCTGGGCAAATGCTGCCTGTCCCAAGCTGATTCAGGATTGCCCTTGAACAGCCTGTCGACCTGCCAAGCCATGCCAAGCCATGCAATGCCAAGCCATGCCAAGCCATGCCAAGCCATGCCAAGCCATGCCAAGCCATGCCAAGCCATGTTGCCATGCTGCCATGCTAAGGTTCTGTCATGGCAACGCCTGTGATTTACGTGCTGGCCGGCGAGGTTCAAGCTACTTGGTAAATTGCACCCACGCTTATAACAATATCATTATTATCATTAGGCTCGTTATCTTAGTTTGTGACCACGTTTTTTTTTCTTCCCTGAATTGGTTGAACCCACGAGTACTCAATTTGGTTGACAAAGACGATCTGTTTTTGCCCAAGCCATCACGAGCCCTCTGTACAGCACCTGGGGCGCGCGCGGTCTTCTTCCATAAAGCGCCTGCGAGATGAATCCAATTGTCCTATGGTTGCCAAGGGCTCCGCAACTGACCCAAAAAACAGGCTGGACTGTCAATGCAGCATTTCGAAGACTGGTTGTCCACGGCCCCTCCACATTTCATGAAGCACAATCCCACATGACTCTGAAAGGGTCGCTGTCAGATTCTTTGAAGCAGCCTCCTTCTGCGCTTCTGTTGAGTGCTGAGCTTCCACCGATCTACCGAAGTCTCTCGTGAGCTTGACCCTCCCTTGCCTGAACCAAGGGACTTGGATTTGCCATGGCCCGATTTGAGAAGATCCCAGAACACTGCATTGTCATCTCACTTGCCTCACAAACAAGGAAACAACCGTTCAACCTTTTGGGGCCATGACCAAGCATGGGCCGAAAAGGGACAGCTCAAAGGTCAAAAGGGAGATTCGCCGTGGGCAAGTGGGTAGGTTGACCAAGCTCGTCTTTGGCTTCTCGTTTGGATGTCAATTTTCAGCGGTTGGAGGTTCGACCGTTTGGACATTTGGGATTTTGCGTCCACCAAACACTTTTGATGTTCCTTACTAAATTCAATGTCATAGCAAATTATCCCTCTCGAGCTAACCCTGCTTGGAGAGTCAAGCAAAATTCACTCTTGCTCGCGTCAAGCCGCCGGGGCCTGTCTGCCCGCATGGTCTGCGCAAACATACCTCCAGGGCAAGCGGAATAATTTTGGGGGATCAGAGGCTCTGCGTGGTGAGAATCAAAGGCCCGAATCTTTCTTTTGGCGTTTCCGGAAAGTCCAAGATTTTGGCTGATGGGCTCTTCTACCATGTCCTCACACAACTCCATCTTTAAGAGCAACTTTGGATACCCCCAGCTCCTTAGCTCCAGCTGCTCTTTCCAGGGATGTTATTTTTCCAGAGCAAATACCCAACACGCCACAGGAATATGAGTGGCTCCTCAAAACAGGATTGATGAAACACTCGGATTTAGATGAACCGTACGTAGCCAGGGACCACGGGAGCTGAGGTCTTCAAGCGATGTCTCATTCTAAAGGCTTGGAGGGTTTCACCTAGTTCAAGTTGTCTTTGTTTGCTTTTGTTTGTTTGTGTGGATGGACCAATACTTGCACTTCCAACCAGAAATGGAATTCCAACTTAGGGGCTGGAGATAACATGTTCCAGAAAGTTGGCACTATGACTCAACAGGACGCGCCACAACTTGCCGGACAGGCCGAATGCTCGACACTCCAAAAGCCGCAAAAATCTCAGGGCCGCCAAAAAACAGTACCGTTGATCATGCACTGTGGGAAAAACATGGCTTCCCAAGCAACAAGCAATCGTGCCCACCATCCATTGCAGCCGAGGGCCAACGTATCCAAGCTTCCAAGCTCGTTTCGCAACTACCTACAAATACTCGCAGCTGTTTGTTGCAGACTCCAAATAATTTTCACCATCACATTCCGCCACCATCCCAACAAAGCACACATCTGTAGAGGAACAGCCTTGTGCAGCAAAAGCCCCGTTCTATTCCAAGAGAAGCGCCAAATCAGGCAGCGGCCTTTGGAGGGCATGTGGCGCTCGCTCCTGAAGGGGTCATCGGCCTCAAGGGTGCATGGCAACATCTGCGCAGTGTCCCCCACTTCTGGCTTCCTTTCAGGGGAAAGTAAAGACACGCCCCTTGGTTTGCTGAGCGTATTCAAAAATTCAGATTGTTGTATATCCAGTGATAGTCAAGAACCCCTCTCCTTGTCAAGGGCAATTCCTGCTTGTTTCCTCAAGGCGGTAAGGGCATTGTGGTGTGTCCCCTGTTTTTTTTGTGGAACATCGTACGAGCTTTCCCAGCGTCCATCTCAAATGACCCCTAGACTACAGAACATGTTGACCAAAACTCATGCAGGCTGAGAATCTACTCGGTAACTTGCATGATCCTTAAGCTGCCTCACCAATCTGAAATCTCCATCTGCTTAAGCCCGCTGGAAACAATACCGACAATTTCCAGTGATAGATTTCCTTGAAAACCAACGCACACAAATACACTAGTCACTAGCGTGAACATATTTCAAAAAAAGGAGGATAGTTTAATTGACTAATAACAGTTGTCGCTGTTTCGGTACTTACCTGCTTCTGCATCTGGCATGTTAGGCAACTGGAAGAAAACAATTGGAGCCTCCAAGAAAGCCACCTTGATCCGAAGCTCGTTGACTTCCGTTTCAGCTTGCCATAGTTCAGAATGCCTCACCGATCCAACCGGTTCAGGAAAGGGGTGTGCTTATTGGCCCTCTTTTGGGAAAGGAAGCACTCGAAGTGTAGAATCCCTCAAGGTGCTCCAACAAATCTCCCAGCTCAGGGTCACAAGGCAGCTGAGCAAAAGCTTCGGTCAGACCGCAAGGAGCAAGACCCACAGGCAGTGAGCTTTCTGCTCCCCTGCTAAAAGTTTAACTTTTAGTGGTTTAATGGAAAACCCATTAATTAGCAAATAGTTAAAGTCCTAACATCCAAGCAAAATGCACCAAAGTACATGCAGTGAGCTTTCCGCCTTTTGAGCCGGGAACAAAAGCCAATGACCAGCTTTTTGGCGGGTTTTTATGGGTTGGGCGCCCCGGGCGCTTGGCCCAACGGTACAGTAGGACCTATTTTGGCTTGATGCCCCGTTCAATGGGTTTCCCGTTGGTTCCCTTTAAAAACTACCAAACAAGGGATACTCCTCGCACTACACTTGGCATTTGTGGAGTGTCCCTGGAAGATCAAGATTTCCTCAAGAAAAAACTCTGCGGTGCCATGGGAGGGAGGGTACAATCCAAAACAAGCACAGACCCGCGCCAAGTCAATCGCTGAAGCCTAGCTCGGAGCCCCTGCCATGGATGGGGGTCTGGTCTCAGACTCACGACCTGGCGCGGTGGATCAGCTTAGGTCATGGCTGGGTTACCAACTCGGAATTCACGAACCTGACCTTCATAACTCCCTTCAAAAGAAAAGTGGTCCAAACCAGGAGCCCCCGAATCCCCGAACGTCAGCAAACCGTGCGGAAAGGGTGGGAGGGGAACTGGGGCGAGTCCCCTTAGCATGCCGGGTGGAACATCCAAGGGACCACCAAGAGTTTGCCAGCGAAAACAAGCCAAGGTGAAGCAAAGTAAAACTGAGGGTTGAGCAAGGGCCGATTCCCTTGGACCCATGGTAACCTACTGTGGATGGACAAAATCCATTTCGCCACTGTTGAGAAACCCTGGTTTCTGATTCGATTCTCCTGTAAATACCAACACATTATGGATTCAACCATGGTTTCAAAGTGGTGCGAAATGGCTTCCGTCCATCCGCAGTATTTACTCATTGGTTGAACATCTTGAACCTCCAAGAACCGACCCGCACGCAGCGGACTGGGGCCGTGGCTGGAACTCTTGTAGCCCGGTGACGGTCCGGCCTAGCGACGAACCATCTGCGGGGTTTGCCTCCCAAAAATGGTTCTCTTTCAGTCTAGGTCCTCCAGTAGAGAGGTTAGAATACATGTACCCTTTTTTCGGTAGTCTATTTTAGTGGGGGAACCCTCCCCCAGAAAAGGGTCTGGGGGACCCAGCAGTCTTAAGCGCATGTGAAATTTGGGGAACTTGGTTTGAAGGACATATGCCCTGCCCTCCGCAAATTCACAAGAGTCCCCCTGTTTGGAGTCTCCCGGCCCGAATGGAAGTCGGCGGTGCATTCCTTGGTCATTTCACCCGCAAAAGATGCTGCTTTTTACTGGCTGATGAAAAAACAAACAAACACGCTTTCCTTTCCCAATAAGCCAGAGGTTCATTCAACGCAGCCAAGCTTTGGGTTCCGTTTCTGGCTGGAGCCGTCTGGGATCGTCTGGGCGCCAGTGCTAAATCGCTGCGCGGTGTCCTGGCCTCAGCAGTCTGCAAGGCACCATCTGAATTGCTAGCCCCATGTGTTCACCTGCGTGGCGGGAAACAGCCTAACCTAAGCGAAGCAAATCTTCAGCAAGTGCCCTGCAAAGGGTTGCCCAAGCGCCCGGCTGCACTCAAGGGAACTCAACGGCGATGATATGTTTCCCTACAATGCTTAATCAAGTGAAAATGGATTCCTGAAGGGTAAAAAACCGTAAGTACCCACGCCGAGAATCTTCCGCAGCCATGAGTCTGATAAAGAATTGTGGGGGCCTCTTGGAGCGGCCTGATGCACCTAAACAACGAGTATAGGATTTCGGGTTCTCAGTTGGGCGCAATAAATTGCACATCCGCCTGAAGTAAGGGATCCAGGAAAATGCCGTCCGCCGGTCAACAAGTCGAGCCTTTCCGTTGCAACACTTTTCCCGAGTTCTATCAGGGTTTCCTCCATCTCCCTTTTTGGAACCTCCAGAAGTGGCAGCTTCAATGGAAAACACGATCAGGTTGCAAGCTTTGAAGGGGACATCCAGTGATTGAACCCCGTTGGGCAAACCGAAAACCCTGGCCGAAAGCCAGCCGCCACTTTTCTCCTCACGCCAAGCTCGAAGAGCGCTCCGTTAGTCATCCAGCAGGTCTGCCACCTCCTGCGGTGTGGAGGCAAGGGGGGATTGTCTTCCCTTTCACAAAATCCAGAAGACCTTCAAATCGCAAAGAACAAATCCAAACCGCGTCCTAGAATTGGGCCAGCTTCACAAAAAACAAGACCAGAGGCCCGCGCCGTGGCACCGTGGCAAGTGATCACCGTTAAAAAGAAAATGGCCGGTTGAAAACATGCCGGCCATGAATAGTTCTGATGAATAGTTCTGAGGCTGGGGGCTTGCACATTGCCTCCTCCGAAGCACCAGTCCAAAAGCCTACTTTCAGCTCCCCCCTAATTGGTGGTTTGGTGGTTGAGGGGTTTCCAATGAACACCTCTTAAATCACAAAGCACACATCAAACTTATTGCCGCCCTCCAAATCACTCGGACACCGAAAGCAAGAACAAACCACTTGCTGGTTCTTAGCAGGGCATGTGAAGTGGAATGATCCAAAAAAAACCATCCATTCTTTATGGCCCCCTGTACAACAGTCCCCTGAAACGGTTCCTTTCCGAAACCCGGACTCGGTCGTTCCCTATCGCACCAGCAAAGCAAATAGCAAGGGTCCCGGGGCCAGCTTGTGTTGCGAAATCCATTTCGCGCCACCTACGCAACCCTGGAATGGTATACATTCAATCTCATTCCCCTGCAAATACCGGTCTTTCATGGTTTCTGAGGTGCTGGATTTCGTCCACCGACAGTAGGGTCAGTCTTTCCATCTTTCTACGGCTCAACATCCTGGAATGGCCGTCAATCGAAGTCTCCTGGCTTCCGTTTTGCAGGGGTGTTAAACTCGATTCTTGAGTGGATCGACCAAAGTTTGTTTGCCACTAAGTTTAACTTGTCTTCCGAAAAAGCATAATAGTCCAGGGGACTCCCCTGAGTGAGTCGAACAAACGGGTGTGGGTCCAAAACAGGGTAACCCCCAAATGGGTTTCCCTGTGGTAAATGGAATTGACCGCGTACAATCTGCAGTCCATATCCTGGTTCTAGGGCAAGCTTCCTCATTCTGTCCAGGGATCTTCTTCTCAGGAAACCCATCAAAAACCCAGGTTGGAAACAGCTGGCTTTCCAAACGAACGATGGTTCAAATAATGTAAAAGGAATCAACCCCTAGACTGGTGGTTTAGCTTTGATCCAGTACCGATTCAATATAATTGTTTAAGTGGTTTTCCAACCAATGATCCTCCCATGTAAAGGACCTTTTGATCAAACCCCATATCCCAGTGGCGACTCATTTTGACCCATACCTCCAGGGGTTGATTCCCCGTTCTTGTCAACCATCGTTCTTTTCAATAACCAGCCGTTTTTCCCTCGGTTTCTGAAGGTTCTCTAGAAAGAAGGATTCCTAGAAAGAATGGGGAAGGTACCCTCCCTCCAACAATCATGGAAGTGGACAGGGGGCTTCCCCAAGAGGAAAACAGTCTTTCAACACCCTCCTGTCAGCTTCCATGATTGTTGGAGGGAGGGTACCCTACCCCAAACATGCCTCGCTCCAAAGGCCCGCGGCGCGCGAGGCACCTCCTCCACTTTCCGCTTCTTTGGCGCCGGCGGCGCTGCTGGGATCTGCTCCACCAGCGCGGCCCCCGTGTGCGCGTTGAAGCAAACGCTGTTCACCTGGAGTATCCTAAAATTAGATTGGTTGTTTCCCTATTCTTTCCAGGGATCCGAATCTTTCTAGAAAACCTCCGGAAACCCGGTTGTCCAAAAGAACGATGGTTGAAAAGAATGGGGAAACGACCTCTGGAAAAATGCTCTCTTTTGTTTGGTTGGTGTGTGAAGGGACTCCCACAAAATACTCACTTTCTGGGTGCTATTTACCACCAAAATGGTCTAACCCCCAAAAGTGACTGAAGTGCAGGAACTCGGGAAGTGAGAATATGGAAAGGGAACTGCCACATGGGAATCGGACGGGCAGGGCTCACTGGATGTCCGCAAATCAAAAAGCTGATCAAGTCACCAGTGCTTTCCGTTGATCGGTGTCCACGTTTGGAAATCGGTTCCAGACAAGGGAAATGGAGGAACCCTGCCAGCAGCTGAAAGTTGAAGACCTTTTGGAGCGAGGCTGGATGATACTGGGCCCTCTCCAACTTCTACCACTCACTTGCCCAAAAACACCTGGAAAGACATGAGTAACATGTTCGGACCTCCAGGACATGAACACTAAAGGGAAAGCAACAGGTCAAAAGGCCGGCTCTGGGCAAGTGGGAAAAGGTAAAGCAGGTACACACGAGCCACCGGCAATACATTCCCTTTCCTGCAAGGGCACCATATATTCCTGTTCAGTTAACATAAAATTCGGGTGCGTGGCCCGCTGACCATTCGGATGGGATTATTGTAATAGAAGTGAATCTTGATTGTTGCTTACCTGGCAGTGCTTGAATCAAAGTGCCATTTTCTTCGTCAGCGTGTTGGAAGCATGGGCAACATGAGAGTCAAAATATTTATGTTTGGGACATTCGCTAAACCATGAGGATCAAAGCTTGGGACCACAAAGTAAGACAAAACCAAAAAAGGAACCAAAGGAAACAACTAAATCATATTTGGGACCAAAAAAAAAGCACACAAAAAAGAAACCAAAGGAAAAGACTACATCATATTTCGGGACCAAAAAGGAAAACCATCAGCTCGGCTCAAACTGAGCTGTTGACTCCGCTGGGCCAGGTGGCCCAAGGACTGAGGCCTCGGCCAAAGGAGGGTCCTTTCTGGTAATGGCCTGGCGCCAGCGGGTCTGCTTGACCCACTCCCCAGAGATGATGTTTTAAGGTGGGGCTGTAAGCAGGTTTCAACCGCTCCCTTCCTGAGTGCATGGCAAAAAGAAGAAGTCCAAACTTGGTGCATGCGTGGTCTTCCTCAAAAAAAAAACCCGGAACTCGGGAAGTGAGAAAACGGGTGCCTGTTTGTTTTAACCTAAGCAGGAAACCTCAGCAACACGCGCCACCGACTAATGAATGTCCGGTTTGCCGAGCTCGCTGACTTCACACTTTTGCAGTTGCCTTCAAGAAGGTTCTGTTGAATTTAATTCATGGGGGTTGGGGGAGGGGGGGGGAAGGCGGGGGAGCCCCAAAAAAGCCCTCACTACCCCTAAATAAGGCCTTAAGGCTCAGCCCCCACAATTAGTGGAACTCATTACAAACCATAGCCGCCGGGCTCCGGGTTGGGTAGGTTGCGGCCCAGAGTAAGAAGGTCAAGGAATCGTCTCGGAAAAACTTTCTGGCGTTTTCCTGTTCACTGTTTCAGGGGTACTGCAATGAACCCACAAACATGAGCGTTTCGTTTGGCATCCTTCCTTTCATTGGGAAGCGTGTTACTCGTCATCCCCTCTGGCTACCGGGAGTCAGGACCTCTGGCTATAGATGTTTGCATTGATCCAGGCACATGGGAATTGAACCAAAAAAGGCGGTCCCTTGGATGTCGAATGGACGAGATCCCGACCTAACAACCTGGAATGATTCGATTCCCCTGTAAATACCAACAAACGTTCTGGTGTCACCCATGGTTTCGTTTTTCGTGGTGCGAACGGATATCGCCACCATCCACCCGTCACCAGCCCTGGCCAGCCGTCGCTGCGCCTTGATCACCTCCTGGGTCAAAAGGCCCCCGAGCACGGAGGCCACATGCACCAAGGGCTCCACGAAGAAGTGGCTGAAGGCCTACGAACTGCGGGGGACCTCCGACGGGGTCCCCAAACCATTTGGCCATTGGCAAGCAAATGACCCTGGTAGATGATAAAACCACCAGGTAAACCAGGAGTCGCCATCCGTTTTTCGACCAAAACAGCCAAAAAGGACACCTATGGCCCCAATGAAGGTCAACAAACCGGGTCCAGGTTCAGCCTGATGTGTCAAAACCTGGACCCCTTCGCTGTTTGCAACCCGCAGCCGATGGTTGTTCGTCAACAACCTAAACTTTAGGCCCTAAACTAAAAGGTAACTAAGCAGGTTTGGGGTTGAAGCAAAAGCTGAACCCGCAAAATGACAACGGGTCCAATGTCACGATACCTCTGCAAGCTTGCCAACAAGACTTTAGCTTCATCACTGCCCAAGAAGGCTGGCCCTGAAAGGCCCAAGCTTCCTGATTGAAACTAATTCTCGTGGTCTTCCCAAACAAAAGCAGCTATCCCAAGGAATGAGTTCCATGTTCGTCAGAACCAGTTGGCACCCCCAAGTCAAGGATCTTCATTGGTGGAAGCGCTTGTTGTACTCCCAAACGAGCACTTGATCATTTGTGTAAAGGCTATCCTACAAAAAGGGCCAGAGGGAAGATGCTCAAAGTTGACCGCCATGGACTGGTTCTCAGGGCACACACCCACCAAAGGCATATTCGAATGTATGAACTATACACATGTGTGCCTATATATATGTATGTATATATATATATATGTATATATATACACCTGTCTCAAACTATAGGCTAGTTGGGCCTCGGTTCTTCCGCGTTCCTTCCTTGGAAAAACAACGACCCCATGAGCAAAGGGCGCGTTCGTTCCTTGGAACAACAACGACCCCATCAGCAACGGCAAACCAAAAGGAAAACTCAAGACTGTTCACAGCACAGCACATGCTCTTTTTTTGGTGGTTGGTTTCACATCAACGGATCTGAACATGTAGCTGCACCAGCACAGGTACCTGGAGCCTATGCGAAGGGCCGCTGGACTCCGGCCAATTCCGGCCTGCTCTAACGAGTCCAGGCCATCCACCTTTGGCTCACACTGCACCTGGCCCGAGTTCCCGGGTTCTTTCGGATCAGACAGGTGGCAGGGGCGTGTCATTATCTATCAGCATCGTCATTTGCTTTTCTTGCTTGCTTTGGGAATACTACGGGGCCGTCGCTAGAAGCTCTTTTTGGTTATGAAATCCAAAGGGGTGAACGAGTGCAAGGAACACCGTCACAACACGCGCACACAAGAACCCCCGATTGATAGGAGCAAAGGGGATTCCTTTTCAACAAAGCAACAAGAAAAGCAGGGAGGGCTCCAAAGTAGTCCAACTGGGTCATGTGGAATCCTTTCTAGCCGTACTCTCCCCATTCTGTTCTTTAATTCTTCTCTTCAGAACATGGGCCACAGGCCCGGGGAAATAGGTACTCTCTTCAGAGAAAAATGTGTGAACCGAATGGTTGGAACCAACCCTCATAGAACAATAGGCAATCGGTGTCCCACCCAAATCGACCCCTGGGTTTTCACCCTTGTGGATCTACAGGGGGCTCCCCAAGGTTCATTGGATTGAGAACAAACCCCACAAAATCCTCTGGAAGCTCACGAAAATCCTGGTCCTCAAGCCCCCACTTTCACCCTGTGTGTTCGCTAGTTGTTTTTTTTTTTTTTTTTTTTTTTTTTTTTAACGAACCAACCATGTACCAAATTCTTCCAGCCCAAATTGACCGTGATGTTTCTCTTACTCTCGGGCTTTTTGTTGGAAACCCAACCGCCGCCCCAGCGCGCGGGCCCCTGGTTGGAAACCAACCCATACGCCCAAACCGCGCGGCCTCCTTGCAGTGGGCCGCGAAGCTCTTCGCCTCGCTGGGCGCGGCCTTGTGGCTGTTCCGGAAGGAGGCGAAGAGGGCGATCAGCTTGAAGGTCGCGTCGGTCTTCCTAAGATACAGTATGGGAACTCACATGCCCAGTGGCCACGGGCGAAAAAGGACACGCTTTTTTGTTGCTTGAGTTCAAGCGAATCGGAACCCTTACCCCAAAAAAAGGAGAAAAAGGGAGCAACCCACTGGGCAACAAAGGGAATGGACCTCGAGCAGCAGGGTGGTTCTGGTGTAGCATCTGGGTGTTGAAGAAAGGGTCTAAGCAGATGCAGGCATCATGTATCTGTTCAGGTTTTCTTTGATTTAAAGGGACATGAGCAATTGTCTGCCTTTTTGCACCCTTCTAAGAGTGGGGCTTGAAAGATTGGGGAATCCGTTTCTTGGAAACAATGCAAGAAATTTTGGGGAGCCCTCTAGTTGATTTGTTCGCAGCCATCTGAGGCCATTTCAATGTTCCTGCAGAAACACGCAAATCTGTGCTTTGACGAAAAGAGAAAAAAACATAGCACACCGCACACCGTGTTGAAGCCAAAGAGGCAGGTGTTCTTGCAAGACCGGGCCCAATGGCCCAACCACAAATCCCCCAGTTTGGGGGTGAGGCGGTTTTGAGTCACCGATTGATCCCCTGCCAACCGGTGTCTACGCTTTCATGGCCCTCCCCGTCCTGGCTCCGCCAAATCGCCCGCTTCGACCCCCGAATTCCGGGCCAAGGTGCCCCGAAGCCGTCTGCGGCAGCTCGGAGAGCCAAGAGCTGAAGGAAGGGAAGCTGAAGGTCTCCGGCTTATGCTCCGTGCCTCCGGATCCGATTTCTCCAAAGAATGCTGACCCCGTATACATGGGGGGGGGGTTGGCCCCTAAGTGATGGTTCCTCGCTAAAACCCAAGGGATACCCCCATATTAATCAACAGGGGGTGATAAATTAGTATGGGGTCAACATTAGGCCGGGTCCAGAGGCAGGGAACGACAAAGCAAGTGGGGGTTTCCTTTTCTGTAAGTGGATGGGCCCTGGCCTTGGGTCGTTCTCCTTCTTGGGGGAAAGCCCGCCGGGAACATGCTCTGTGTCTTGAAGACTCGGACCAAGGACACGAAACAGCAAACACATCCTCCTGGACCTTGAAACTCCAAGATATTTCTGGGTGTTTTCGGAGACCCCTACGATTTACCAAATTCCAGTGGTTTATCCACAACCTGGGCAAAAACACAGACGAATTGCATCGTTTCCGGTCGCGCATTGGCATCCAAAGTATATACACACCTCGCAGCACATGCCAACGTGCCGAGTGAACACTATGGAATGCCTTGATCATCAACAAAACTATGACTTTTTCGGATTTGCGGGAGTTGGTGGGTTTTTGCAGGAGATTTGCGGATATGTGCGAGCGTATTGCAGTCAAAATGGGCACGGTTTCTCTTGGTTGCTGTTGACCCCTCTGCAAAAAGTTTAACTTTTTGTGTTTTTTATGGACAACCCCTTGATTTCCCAAAAAGCTAAAGTCTAAAGATGCAACCCAATAGCAGTAAAATTATCTGCACTGCACAACTTTGGACCGCGGTTGCATGTTTCGACAAGCCTGCGGGCTGCATTAAGTCGTCCACCCCTGCAAAGCTTCCTGTAATCTGTCAAAGGCCGCGAGCATTGCAATAGTGTGCTTTGTAGGAGTTGTAGGAGTTTCAGGTTGTTGCGTCAAAAAGTGCTACGATTTCCCGAATATCCAGTCAAGGCGGAAAATACGTGTGTTTCTCTTTTTTTCTCAGGAGGACGAAGGTCCGGGATCAACATTGGACTAACGCAAGCAAAGCCGGCAATCAAAGGGAGTCAGTGGTGTGCCCAAATCACCTCCTCAAGGGACCTGGAAATCAAAATGTTCGCCTTTTGGACCTTGACCCGTGGACAAAACACGCATAATACTAACTAGGTCCTCCAGTAGAGAGGTTAGAATAGGGTACCCTTCTTTCTGTAGTCTATTTTAGTAGGGGAACCCTCCCCCAGAACAGGGTAAAAGGGCACTAGTGGGGGAGCTAAATAGGCAAATCGTTTTAAGTAACGGTTCATGACCGCAACTGTGCAAACATCCCACACCATCCCGCCTGCTTCTGTGCCTCCTTGAGTACTTCGCTCCTGTGCAAAAATCTGGTTGGGATTCAGGGCCCTTCGGTCCCACAAGAAACCGAGTGAATCTCAAGATCCAGGATCCAGCTGCAGGACTTTTGAAGAACAAGGGCAGAAAACCGCTCCCTGGTTTGGCTCCCCCTTTTAGAGTTGACATCACACAAGCGGCAGTCGCAAAGGAGAGTGACATGTTTTCAGCGGGGAGCCCCAAGCAAAAAAAAAAGAAAAAGGGTGGCACTAAAGGATTATTTGCATTTGCTTGCGCCGGGAAATGAAGCATACTCACTTCAGCAAATAGAAGATGATTGCGCCATCGGCGCGCGACCTATGCGCGAATCGGCACCGCGAGTCCTGCATCACGTGCTCCTGGAGGTCTGAGAAGAAAAAGGCCAGCTCGCCAGCGGCAACGGTGAGCATAAAGCCCGCGTCTGGGCAACGGCGTCGCCAGGGCTTCCTCTATTTCCCCTTTGGGGGTGGCTCTAAACATCGGCTGGCTTCTGCAAGAAAGCAGCGGCTCGGAACCTGAAAGGAAAAACAAGCCTGAGGACTCAGGAAAAGACACCGCAACAATACGTTTTTTTTTTTTTTAGTTTTTACGTTCAGTGTGTGTGTGTGTGTGTGCGTGTGCGCGCGTGGGTGCTTCCGAGGCGTGAATTTTGGGGGTGGAAAAAAGGGGCCACGCGCGCCTACAAAATACATATATGCATACACGCATGCATACAACGATCAAGCTCCATGTTCCCGACAGGGTTCGCCTTTCGACGCCCCTTGGCTACAAATATGAAGGGGCCTGCTTTGAGAGGGGTCCCAGACTGATCGACAAGTCCCTTTTGCTTTCAGCCACAACGGGAGGATAAGTCCAGGTGCCTGAAGATGCTCGGCATGGGCCCCAACCACCAATCCTGTGACTCCATTTTCTCTGGAAGGCCTGATTTATTTTGCGGAGAGGGGGGGTTCAGCTGCGAGGGTTGGATATGATTCATCGGAACCAGCTGCTCAGACAGGGCACAGGGTTTTGGCGCCTTGAGTATTGAGAGCCTCTTGGATCAAATTGCCAAAGCCCTTGTTAGGGGCTTGGGTCATAGAGGAAACAAAAACAAGAAGTCTACCCAGCTTTTGCCCGCAAACGCGGCATGTTTGGAGTAATGGTCTTCCAGCAATTACCTCGGTTAGGTTACATCTTGGTCGGCGGTGGATAGCTAAACCAATGCCTTTACTGCTTGCCCAGTGGCTCTGGCATCTACACGCAGCGTCAACGTCGGCCGCAAGCTGGAAATCGTAACCCAGCACCCCGAGGCCCACAATGACCACGTCAAAGCCTTTCACTAAGTCCTCGAGCGCCGTCCATGACCACAAAAGCTGCAAGCACATGGCCACGAAGCAAAAGGGTGTTGCTGCAAACAGGCAACTCTTCCTTGTGGTTGTTTGCTTTCGGAAAACAATGGTGACATATCCTACAAAAAGAAACTGCTCTTTCTAGCAAACGCCCACACCCACCTCAGCTTTTAACCCCCGCTGAAACTGACATGGCTTCACACCATGAATCATGCGCAACGCCCACCTTTACATGTAAACGTGATGTCGGTCGAGAGGTAGCAAACACCCCATGACCAGTGACACTGGTAGAAACAACTTGCTGGTGCTCAGCAGGGAATGCGAAATGGAATGGCCCTTAAAAGCCATCCAACTGGTGGTATCCTTTCAGGGAATCCCTGCGTTCTTTCCCAAATTCCCTACCATCGCGCGAGCAAGTTAGGTTCTTTGCCTTTGACTTGGTTTAGTGGTCGTTTCCACTAAACCCACTAAACGTTAAAACTGTCTAGCAGGGGATGTTGAGGCGAGTGAGACTGGTAGAACAAGGCAACCGTTTGCGGGGCTTACCTTCTTTGCGCGGAACCTGTCGCCAGAGGCTAAGACACGCCCCTATACGCCCCTCCTGCAGGTTCTCCCTGTCAGGCTTGTTGCAGCTGCAGGCAACACTCCCCAGCCTCAGGTCATGCCCCGTTGTTCAGTGACCCTGGTCGCAAGGGATATGTTTTTGTCGGGTTGGCTATTTCAAGTGAAGCCATCAAATATACTGGCACTTCAAAAATGTGCTTCAGGGCTACCAGTTGCTTGGGTCCCCCGCCCGTTGAAGCAAGAAGAAGCAATGCACCCCCCAAACTGATTTGCTTTTGAACCCTTTGCCCTTTGGAACAACCCAATGAGCTACCCTTGGAAACGTGAAGTTGCTGTTTGAAGCAGGCGGTCGCCCCTTTTGGGCCAAATTGAAGCACGTCGCATCTCCCCCTACCCGGGCTCGGTTTGTTAAGAGCATCAAACTTGCTAACATCAGCGCGGGAGCTTCATTTTTTTTTTTTAAGTATAGGCCACCACACAATATCACACAATGACAACAGGCTCTTCGGCGCCTTCTTGGGGATCCCCTGCCCTTTAAAGGTTTGTGTCTGGCCCCTCTTTGCGTTGGCTAGGTACACCGAATGGAACCCCCCAACTGTAGCTTTGCGGTTCTCTCCTGCTCGGCCAAAAAAAGCCATTGCCCACCATTCCGGCCAGGCTGCGGGTTCATCTCCTGTACCCTTGGGCTGGCGCACTCGGACCGGAACTTCCCCATGTCCTCCGGCCGCAGGAAGTAGTTGAAGCCTGCGCAGCTGAAGTTCGACCCGGCATCCATTGGCGCGGTAGAAATTTGGGGCTAGGAAAGCGAAGGAAGTCCTGGACCAAGTCACCCCTGCAGTTTTCATCCGAAGCCCAGGAAATCCAAGCTTGAAGAAAAACCAAGGGAGCGGAAACCAGCAGAGTTCAAACTGCATCCAGGTCGCTATTTCACTCTCAGCTTGTTCCCCCAAGAACAAATGAATCGATTTGAAGCTATGGCCAAAATAACCATCTGGCGAATCAATGAGATGTCCCCCATCTTAGCGCGATTCCTGAATTTGTTCTTTGAGGGGAAATGCCCCACCAGCAAAATCCGCAACACGACGCCAACCATTGACATTTATCTCAAATTGTCTGTTTGACGTCCTGAACAAAGAGAGTGTTCCACGGACTACGCAAAAAAAGTCTTGACACCCAGGCAGCATTGATCAAGCTGCATTGACTCCCAACCCCAAAAGTGCACTGTATCGACCCATTTGCATCAACACGGGGCTGTGGGGTACCATAACCTGACTTCCCGAGTTGATGGGCCAAAAAAAAGACCAACATGGTCTTCCCAAAAAGTGAGTCAAACCAGCGAGAGTCATGACCATCCGAAAATATTGTTATTACATTAATCAGTTCACCCCTTCTTGGCCATAACCCAAGGCTTGATCTCTCTCCCTCCCTTTGCCTACATCGGCCGCTGTCACAGTGCGGTGGTCCCGCAAAGTCAGGGCGACACCTGCGACAAGGAGAACGCCGTATAAGCGGCGCAAACGAAACGGGGAAAGACCGTGTGTGTGTGTGTGTGTGTGCGCGAAAATCTGAGCCTGTTTTCGGGAAGTTGTTGAAAAGGAAGCCAGCTCCTGGAAGGGCCCCCAGATTTGGGGGCAGAGAAGCGTGCCGGCTTCAAAAGCGCTCTTGCGGCCAAGGCATGCGAGGACCCGTCCCGTCTCCCCGTCCGGTGGATTCCCTCAACACTGCCAGTAAACCACAGCAGTTTCCTGAGCGGACTGGCCGAAGGTCCAAACTCTGTGTTTCGCGACTCATCCCGAAATGATTGACGGCTGGGCTTGGGGAGTGGATGGCACTTTTGAGAGCTCCCGCCTGCGAGGACGAGGTTCTTGCACGCCTCCACATTGCTGCCTTCCAGGCCCCAGACCAACACCTGTCGGAGAGCCCACAGACCGTGCCTAACCTGCAGGTGAGGCGCCAGCATTAAGAGAACTACAAGTCATGACCATGTCACTTCAAACCAACAACGGATCCAAAAACGCCTGAAGCTTAGAGCATAAGGACCTGGAACGTAAGAGTTTGTTTCATGTTCTTGAAAAATGGTCTGGGACTGGGCCAAATTTGGCAAACTAAAAGGGTGAAATGGTCGACTTGCTTGGTGAAAGCGAGCCCAAAAGGAAAATGGTCTTTCACACAGCCCGGATGCAAATTGGATTTCTTTTGCCTCCAAAACGAGCCCCCACAAAAGGTGCCGCCTCAAAACAAGACGGGCCCCCCATTTGGGCCGTATGTGGTGGAAAAACGCGGCCTTAGGCATCAGGCCAAAGAAATCCAGGTCAAATGACCAAGGATTTCGCAGAAAACGCTGACCACTTTCACAATGCCCCTGCGCAGTCGCCAAACCGACGCTATGTATACCATTTAAGCAGCACCGTCTCGAACCAATCACCACCTGCCAAAGGAAAACTCAATCAACATGACGCGCCTGGTGTCTAAGGCCTCAGGTTTTCATGCATGCTCCACATATAGCCACTGCTTATAACAAGGTTATATATATATATATATATCATGTATGAAAGATGTGGATGGATGGACGGATGCATGAATGGATGGAAGAAACCTAGCATCGGACGAAGGGACAAGAATGCGCGAACGAACAAACAAACAAACAAACGAACGAACAAACACAAACTAACAAACAACAAAACACAACCAACCAACCAACCAACCAACCAACCAACCAACCAGCCAGCCAGCCAGCCAGCCAGCCAGCCAGCCAGCCAGCCAGCCAGCCAGCCAGCCAGCCACAAACAAGCAAGCAAACAATCAAACAATCAAACAAATGCCACCCCCCTAGCTGCACAACACAGTGGTGAATACCCCATTGCACGTTAACATGGAACTCTACAACATTTCGATGTCCCAACAAGAGACTACTCCAAAGCTTGTTTGTGAGGTTCATGAATGTAGGAGTGGAATTGCTCACTGTTTCTCAAGGAACCCTACCGGGAAAGCGGCCCAAGGGTTAGGAGCTGAATAATGCCTGCTGCAAGGGGGTAACTAAGGCCAAACAAGGCCTGCAGAGCTCAGGGAGGGGTCTTGAGAGTCTGTGAAGAGAAGGACACCGGCACTGCAGGGGTCGTGGCCCCTTAAAAACTCCGTGCCTTGGCATTCAGCAGCCGCTGCTGCGCTTGCACCCCCCAAAGCCTGAGCTGACCTGAGCGGCCGCCACTGGGGGCTGAAACCGAATCTCAGCTGCCCAAAGGTTAGCCTTTTGCCCAATCTTTTAATACTCATTTGATGCCAAGATTTAGCGGCGCCTGAATCCGCCATGAACAAGTCACTTGTGAGTGAGAGAGGCGTTTAACCTGTCAAATCAACGAGGCGTCTTCCTTGTCTCCACAACGTCGCTTCCTTCTGCACTCTGGGGGGGGGGGGCACGCTCGCCAAGCCCAAAGAAAGCCTGTGTGGCACAACTGGCTAGGGTTGGATGGCTTTGCCACACCGATTTTTTTTCCGTTGGCCCTCTTGGGAAAATCAAGAGCCCCCCCCCAGTTCGTGGAACCTAAGAAAGGACAAATCAGCCCCATGAAAACAACGACCACATTACACGATGAAAAAGTTCCAGGATTCCATACACCACCATTTGAGACCCAGCCCCCAGTCTGAATCTTCGACCAGAAAGGAACAAAAGTGCGCAAATTGTCCGCCACAGGATTCCTGCATTTAGTTGTTGAATATTATCTCTCCAGGCGTCAAATCTAAGCTATAAGCAAGCAAAGCCATTCTTCTCATCACCCCTCAAGGGTGACATGACATGTGCCATGACCAAAGCTCCTCATGTGGGTCATGGCCGTCGGTACCTTTCTTGGATCTGCAAAATCGCGCTATCCCACCGACTACTCTCCTCAAACAATTGGGAACTCGAGTTGGGCCTGGCTCAACAATTCGCAAGGAGCTACTCCCTGACAAATTGACATGGCACCCAAATTGGGAATATGTTTTTCAAGCAGGCTGTTTCTTTCTCGGGCCCATGAAAAAACAAAAACGGGATTGGGGCAGGGTTCACCCCCCCACCGCGCGATTCCTGAAACAAGAATGGAACTCTGTGGGGTCCGTGTTAGTCCGAACGGGAGCTCCTCCCCGACGTGGTTTGGCAAGTCCTCTCCGAGCCCGGTGCGGTCGTATACAGCCACCTGATCCCCGGTGATGGCTGACATCGCCTGCGAACGAAGCATCCGAACAAACTGGCCCTCGCAGCCCTCTGCAAATGAACATGAAACCCAAACAACAATCGTTCTTGAAAGGCTGGAGACAGTTCCAGGGGGCCAAGACATTCGACTTCGGGCTAGCCTCATGCACGGTTCGGCAACGCGCGCTAGTCTCTCCAACTGGTAGCTATCATTTCTCATGAAGCTTGCCATACGCGGGTCGCCGATCTTCGAAACGCCCAATTCCAATCGAACTGTTCGGTTGCATTCCACCCTGGGATTATGCACTTATTGCACCCGCTTGGGAATGGTCTATTCTGCTGGGGTACATGCCAATTCACCCGCCAAAGAAAAACCTCAGAAGCCACTTGGGCGTTCAACCCATCTTAGTAAGTAAGCAGGTGGCAACCATACTTGTGAGGCAACCAAAGCCAATTACCCCCGTTACCCTGATTATGACTTGGTTGTGTGAGGCTATCCAGGCGCATCTCAGAAGCCGGGCCTGCTCCGGCCAAAGGCTGCACTTTGACCCATCTACTTGAGCAAAACTGGGCACTGCGCACTTGAAATGAACTAGGAGAAGTCCGCAGCCTCGTTTCACCCACCTAAAGCAGGGAGGGTAAAGCTTGGTCTTTTCACCAACCCAATTCGACTAAGTCATGTCCTTCGCCTAGGGAGGGGGCGCGGTGTCCGCAATTTCCAGTTAAGTCTTCCTGGGAAAAGGGAAGGTGGCACCACAATTGACACTTGGCTGTGGGTCCGAAATAGGTACCCACAATGGAACCCTGGTACATGGAAACATGGACTATGGCCTGCGGTCCCCTGCCTCCGTTTGCTCCTAAGGGCCAGAAACTGGTGGGAGACAAAAAAAAACACACCACACAACTTTCAAAGGGACCCTTTGTCAGGTTCCAGCCCTGAACACCACCAAACCGCAGGGCTCCAAACCACCAACTAGATGGACGCTCATTGGTAGCGTAAAGCCTCAGATGCCCAGTGGCCATGTAAAAAAGTCCACCTTTCTTGGTTGAGTCAAGGAACCGGAACCCTTCCCCAAAAAAACAGTCGAACAAAAGCGTGCCACTCCCAAAAAAAGTCAAAAAAAAGAAGCAACCCACTGGGCGACTGGAACACTTCCAGCACCCGGAAGATACCAAAAGCTGAAGCTGAGCTTGCGGCGGACACCGGCGCTTTGGGAAGGCACTCCTGGCAGCGAACCGAACTGGGAGGCTTAGCGTGACTGGATCTGCACGTTTTGGGTGCCCGGTTTGGCGGTGGAGGAAATGAAACCAAAAACCACCATTTGGGGGGAAGGGGAGGGGGTTCCCCAAGTTTAAGACACACTCAAATGTTTACTCTCGATTGCAAAGCCATCCAACAACATACGGCCAAGAAAAAAACACACCACATTTTGATGAGATCGATTTTAGCCCCGGGCGAGCTCACCAGAACATGGGCAGATGGATATTTACACATACCAACCACCAAATAGTACACAAACGCCCTGTGCAAGAGCTGGTACAGGTGGTTTCCACTATGGCCATGCCATTCTCTGTCTCTCTCTCTCTCTCTCATGGCATCGGAATTCGATCCAATCCGCTGGCGTGGGGGCACTTCAAAAACACCCCGCCTCCGTCTCCCGCACCGCACGACCTCAGATCGAGTCTGGACTCTGGAACCGAGTAGCTCAGGTTGCTCCGCCCAACTGAGCCCGGAAACTGGGGAGCCAGGGTCCTCCATTGTTTGGCAGTCCCAATTGGATTTTTGCCAGTGCTGTAGCAACTGCAGTCCTTCCGCGCGGGGCGGGAGGGGGGGGGCAACTACCAACATGAAGCCCATCGAAGCCCATTCTGCCCGGATCGCTTCGATCCGGGAGTTCGCCAGCACAAGGCCCGAGTGGAGGCAGAGAGGGGATGCCCAACAGCGACAGTTGTTCGAACCGTTGGAAGCGAAGAATGCCATTCCGAACCCCACAGCCCTTTGCAACCCCACTACGTTGGCAAGCCAACTGCGGAGTCAGCAGTCCACATGAGCTCGCCCCCCCCCAGCCGTCGCACAACTCTGGGCTTCGCTTTTTGCTCCTCTCATGCTCAGTGCTTTCAATCGATAGCTCGCAGCCTTGCAGTCACACATTTGCAAGGCCTGTAGCTGAAGGACAGTTTCCCAGTCCATACGGTCCTTTGCCCCTGGAGTGGTCAAGTCCCATTTGCTGTTGCACATGGGTAAACCCTCAGGCCGTAGGAAGCCATCACAGAACACCAATCAGGAAAGCAACGTATCCCAGCCCATCTTGACACAGGTTTCCTCTGCGAGCTCGGCTCGTGCACTTAGCACTCAAGCGCGTGGTTTCAAACCACGTAGGCCTGGCGGCGCAAAGCCGAACGGGATCCAACGGGCCAGGGCCATGTGCGTGTTAGAAACGCGAGCCTCCCTGGCTGTCTGAATCCCCTAGGTCCTTTGACCAACAACCCCTTGCCAGCCACAGCACGGAGTCCAGCGTTTGCTCATTGGTACATTAGAACAATGGGGAGGTGTCCCTTTATTGGCTTCTGGCACGCCACACCACCGCCCCTCCGGATCAAGGATCCGCTTCGAAAGAGAAGCCCGCTTCGTTGGCTGCTTTTCGTTTTTGTTTTGTCTTTTTTTCTTTCTGCAAAAACAATGGGAACCCAGAACACAGTGACGGACCTGGGTGAGGCTGGTGGCAACTCTTGGAAATCGAGCTCTGGGCAATTCACCAATCAGCCAAACTGATGGTATAACAAAACAAATTCCAAAGTGGGGTGTAGAACTGTCAAATTATAGTGCGTAGTGACCAGTAAGAGCTATACAAGCCAAATATGACATAGAATTATGCATATATGTATATACACTTTCTTTATTGTTCTATATGTATGTGTTCATGGCTAGGTGAATAGGGACTCCCTTATGAAACCCTCCTCATCCCCGCCGGCTTGGCGGGAATAAGCTCCGCCTTGTCGCCCTCCATGACGAAGCCTTGGCCTTGGAAAGGCCAACCGGCATACGCCTGGATGGGTTACAATTGTAACAGCAGTGGTCAAGTTTTGCAAGCTTCCCGCTTGGTGATACATTTGTACAGTATGGGGGCAGCAGGTAGAAAAAAGGCAGCCCAGGGTTCCATTTTTTGACTGCCGTGATGTAGATAGATTTCATCGCAGGGGTGGTTGATTTCCCAAAACAGGAAAACCCCTGGGTTCAAGTCTACCTGGTGGTGGTCAAACAAATGGAACCCCGAAAGAGCCCTTTGTGGGGGTGACAAAGGGCTTCTTAAACATCAGATGTGCCACAGAACAACGCCGTGGTTGACTAAGGGGCGGTGGTTGACTGATAGGAGGTGTCCCATCTTTAGAGCATTCACTTGGTGTGGCCTGATGCCAACAAGCAAAGACCCCCCTTAGAGGGCGAAAAAACAAACAAAACAACAAATACAACAAAGTCCACAAATGCTGTCACCAACACGATCCCACTGCCTAGCCTTGACAACGTCGAAGCTGTGAAGTCAGTCAAAACAATGATCTCTGTTTAATCGCATCTAGGTCCTCCAGTCGAGAGGTTAGAATAAGTGTACCTTGTTATTTTTCTGTAGGCTATTTTGTCGGGGGACCCTCCCCCAAAAAGGGGTAAAGGGGCACTGGAAAACCTTGGCATCCAAGGTGTGCGTTGCGACTGCCGTCTCAACCGAGGTGCCGTCGGCTAAGATCACAACCTCAGCATTGGCGGCATTTCGTCATGTGGCATGTGGCCATGGTTTTTTGTCTGGGAACCTCCTTTGGTTGGCTTTCATTGTGTGGGCTCCCCGAGTTTTGTGACCAACCACTACGTGTTCCACCGATTGATGTTTTCTCCCTGACCAGTCACTCAGAATGGAATCCGGCATGCAAACCACTACTGCTGCTTTGGTATCCCACTCATGCCTGCTGTCTCAGCAAAATGTGTTTGGGAGAATCAAGTAAGCCCCTTTTTTGGCCCCCTTCAAAGTTGTCCTTCCAAAGATCCCTAAAACAACAGCCATTTTGGGCTTTCCTTATGTGAGACAAATGGGTTTGTATTTTTTAGGGTGGCCGGGCAGGAAGGTTTGAGTACGGGGTATGATTCGCAGGTGTGATTCGCGGGTATGATTCGGGGTATGATTCGGGGGTATGATTCGCGGAAGCAGCAGTAGTCGCCGAAGTAGTAGTACGAGTAGTAATATTGTAGTAGTAACAATAGTAGTAGTAGTAGTAGTAGTAGTAGTAGTAGTAATAGTAGTAGTAGTAGTAGTAGTAGTAGTAGTAGTAGTAGTAGTTAGTAGTAGTAGTAGTAGTAGTAGTAGTAGTAGTAGTAGTAGTAGTAGTAGTTGTTGTTGTTGTAGTAGTAGCAGTAGTAGGAGTAGTAGTAAATAGTAGTAGCAGTCCTAGCAGTAGTAGTAGTAGTAGTAGTAGTAGTAGTAGTACTAGTACTAGTAGTCGTAGTAGTAGTAGTAGTAACAGTAGAAGCAGCGACTGTAGCGGCGCGGAAGCTTTCAAAAGACTTGGCGCTGGCCTTGGCAAGGCAAGTTCATTGCGCGGGTATGATTCGGGTATGATTCGCGGGTATGATTCGGCTAGGTGCAAAACGGCATTGATTACAAACTCGTAGTAGCTGTGGTAGTAGTAGTAGCAGTAGTAGTAGCAGTAGTAGTGGTAGTAGTAGTAGTAGCAGTTGCAGAAGTAGTGGTAGCAGCTGTAGCATAAGCAGCAGCGGCTGTAGTGGTGCGGACGCTGTGAAAAAGACTTAGCACTAGCCTTGGCAGGGGAAGCTCATTGTTTGGGTATGATTCGGGTATGATTCGCGGGTATGATTCGGCTAGGTGCAAAACGGCACTCATTACAGACTCAGAATGATGTATGTGGTAGTAGTGAGTAGCAGCAGCAGCAGAAGCAGGAATAGTAGTAGTAGAAGTAGTAGTAGTAGTAGTAGTAGTAGTAGTAGTAGTAGTAGTAGTAGTAGTAGTAGTAGTAGTAGTAGTAGTAGTCAAGGTTGTAATCGTAGTAGTAGTAGTAATAAAGGTAGTAGTCGTAGTAGTAGTAGTAGTCAAGGTTGTAGTCGTAGTAGTTAGTAGTAAGGGTAGTAGCAGTGGTAGTGGTAGTAATACTCGTAGTCGCGGTAGTAGCAGTAGTAGTAGTAGTAGTGGTAGTAGCAGTAGTAGTAGTAAATGGAGTCGTAGTAGTAGTAGTACTAGTAGTAGTAGTAGTAGTAGTAGTAGTAATAGTAGCAGTAGTAGTAGTAGTGGCAGTGGCAGTGGTAGTGGTAGTATTGGGTAGCGCTGGTGGTGGTTGTTGTGGAGACAGTGAACAACACAAAACGGTAGAAGAACAGTAGCATCTTGCAGCATACGTTTTAAGGGGTATGATTCGGGGGTATGATTCGGGGGTATGATTCGGGGGTATGATTCGGGGGTATGATTCGGGGAGGTCCCACCTTCTGCCTTTTGAAGCAACTCAACACACCAAAAAAGGACAAACCCAAATCCATTTAGCACCTGGAGAACAGATCCTCACAGCCGAGCGGCTTCATG